TTTCCCAAAAGAAACTGCCGCCAAGTACCATGTAGGGGGAGGGGGGGGGGTTGATAGCACATGTGAAACGGAAAACCGCGAAAACAGACGGGAAAGTTCAGTCTCACGAAGGATTTATTTGTAGTCAGATACGATCCCTCCACCAGCTCCTAATAATCAGTGTCTCCCAGTCGGGATAACATGTGGATAACAGGATAGATCAGCTATCGAAAAAGTCCTGGGAGTTTGAACCCGCACCTCCGGTCGTGAATAGCAAAGTAGGCCGGGTTCCTTGAAAACAGTTCGAGAGCATCGATGGGTGGAGCAAGGAGGATCATTCGGTGAAATCGAGCAGTTGCGCAGAGAATGCCCAAAAGAAGCTGCTGTTTGTAGGGCAGGTCGTACAAAAGGGATCTCTGGCGAGGGGGAGGGAAGGGGCAGTCGTATTTGTTGTAAGAAAAACGTTTTCATTTGTAGGCTTTTCTCCTTTTTCAAGGTCCACTTGCGCTTTATACACCCACTCCTCCATGACCGACAGTTGATTAGAAATGAGAGTCCTTGTGAAAAACTTCGGAAAAATGGTAGGAAGGTGGGAGAAATGTGGAAGATGATGGGACGGCAGTATTCATTTCCCGTTCGGTAAACAGGAATAGAAGTAAAATTCCGCTTTACTGTAAACCACGGCCATGTTTATTGTTTCGTTGTAAGGACTGTCATCGTGGAACGTGAGAAGATTTGGTTTTGGTTTTTGAAAATTCCTTTTTGCCTAGTTGTTCCACGAATGGCAATAGTCTTCTAAAGTCCGTGTTACAGAAGGGAGGCGCAGTTGAAAAAGAAAACATCAGGCACACGTTACACGTTCCCATTAATTTGGTGGTTCTTGACATAATTGATGTAAATGTCTTTGGAAATCGAACAACGGTAGTTTTTATAGGCGTAGGCGCAAGATACCAGCGTGACAACGTTTGTCGAGTAAGTGATATCATACAGCATGACATTTTGTCATCGTTCCATATATCATTAGGTTTTCATGGCATTTTTCGAGACATGTTCCGCAATGATCGTATGGGTGGGGTCATTTGCACCATTGCGCTTCTTTGCCGGTATTAGAAGGAGGAGCTAATCTGAAAGAAGGATGCACTTGTGTGCCCGGCCTCTCGTACGATTAGCGCGGAACGTACCCCTAGAGAACCAGATGATGTAGAGCCTTGCAAATTGCCACTGGCGCAGACTCTGCCGTTGGGCGCGCTAGAGAAATTGACAGAACCACTGGGCGGAGAGAATCAATCTTTGGGCAGGGAGAGTCGACCAATGTGTAATGCTCAGTGGTGCTCCCTCTTGTTTACATGTTAGCAAAAAGGGCACGGGCGCAAACGGGCGGTAAGGCACAAATGATTGTCTGTCCCTGCCCATACGCCAGTGTGGACTTTGCCTTTCAAAGCGGTGTTCTTTAAGTGGAAGGTTTAAGTAGAATTTTGGTTCTCCCCACTTTCAAGATAGCAAAGAGTATAGATCTCCTTGAAAAAGGAGCCCTCAGTGAGAAGGGCGTAGCTGGTTAGTGACTCCTTACATTTCGTGCTGACTCACCGCACTGGTCGTATGGGCGGAGACAGTCAACTGTTTGTACCTTCCTCATTGGTGCGTCCACATGCTCACCCTCTTGAAGCGAGGGATGCCTTAGCGAGTAAGGCGCAGTGGTTGGCTGTCCCCACCCACATGACCAGCATGGACCACGCCCTTAAACGGTTTCCCTTGGTGAACATTTCAAAGAAATCGCATTTTTCTTGGTAACAACAGAACCAAAGGGTATTCTGTGGCATCATGCCCAAATCCATTCTATAAAAAGAGTTACACCAGGATTATAAATTACTTAGGCGGGGCAATGGAAAAACAACCTGACATTTCAACACATCACTTCTCGATTACCTTGATGTCGGACCTGCTCGCATCGCCAGGGTCGTCAGAAACATGTTGTGAGATGCAGTTGTTCTAGCATTACTCGAATTTAGGAGGATTTCCTCCAATGCGATACCTCTAATCAACGGTGTAAAGCCCTCAAGTCACCCTCCCCCCCGATGTGTACTGGGGCTGGAGAATGAGGATGCAGCTTTTATTGGTGGTTGGCCTCGAAGTATTTTCAGCCTCAACCTGCGTATTTATTAGCTCACGATGAAAGTTGAGCTTTTTGCCCGTCATTAACAAGGAGAATGCTCTGCGGCAGCAGTCTGCTTTTTGCCCCAGTAGTTTACTTGTAATCATTCTTTCACTTGTAATCATCTTTTACGTGACCACTCAAACTTTCCATCAACATTTTTTGCCGCCAGAGGGTCGATTGCAAACAGAGAACGGACAACGGTTGGCTAATTACGGTGTTAAACAACGCGCAGGCGAAAAAGATGGATCAGCTCACCGAGGGGCAGTGGGAGTGAAACTCTTGTAAGTGAAAACAAGATAGTAGGTCTGGCTAGGAATGCGACGCTATTTCGGCGCACGAAAGCGGAGACTCAAGCAGAAATTGAACGCGATATGAAGTCCGCATTGCTCGCAAGCTATATACGTCAGGGGCAGCTTGCGGCAGCGCGGCGAAAGCGACCTCGCGCCGCCGCACCGCGACCTGTGTGCCTGACTTTGATTATTCGAAACTCCAAACAAATTATCCGAATGGAGAACGTCGCTGCACGGCGAAGGCGACGCCGCACCGCCGCGTTTTGACCTGATTTTTTATTCTGAACATAAAACCAGTTAATCGGTATAGGTGCTTTAGCTTTCTCTACTCAGAGTATTGACAGAAGTTTTGCTCTGGCGGAGCAGCATAGGCTTCTGCTTGAAAAATAGCTCTGTATAAGTCAGCGGTGTATAGTTATTGAGAGGTTGAACCTCTAGAACTTTACAACTCCCAGAAACTTCCAGTTTGGACTGACACAGGGAAAAGATTCATGGAATGTTTCATATTAAAAAATATGATCAAATAAGCATGTTTTAGGGTCGAAGAGCTGAAAAAGTGTTATGGGCAGTTGCAGTCCTGTCAGCAGTATTCATCGCTGCCGAGTTTGCTGGTGGTTTCTTTGCTTCGTCGTTAGCAATCATGACCGATGCTGGTCACATGCTTTCGGATCTGTTATCGTTCATCATTTCCATTGTCGCCATTCGAACAGCCCGACAACCACGTTCGTTTTTTCCTCTTTCCTTTCTTCTTGTTTTTTAGTTCAGTACAAGATCGTAAGAGTACAAAAAACAAGCGGCCTACAGTACTCAGAAAAATTGTGCGTGAAATTAGATGTGTCGACCTATGAAACTAGATGTGTCGACCTAGTGAATGTACACAATTAGTCTAACCGTAGGCCGGTTAAGTTACCCGAGTTGGCCTATACAATTGGTGCGAGTTTACTCGTTATATTGTTTTTTTGGGCTCACTTCGAGGTATCGGGGTTTCAGCGTGTGGACTGAAAACTTGTACAGAGAGAGGGGGGGGGCTTCATAGACCAGGAGCTGACGAGGCAGGAAGGTCGGCGAGGCTTCAAAGTGTGAACCCAAAACTCGTACAAAATGGTCGGGGCTTCAACGGGCGGGTTTAAAACTCGTACAGAGAGGATGGGGTCTCAGCGTATGGCTCCAAACTCGTACCGGAGAGGGCAGAGTTCCTGCAGAAGTGTTTGAGACACATTAAGGGCCAGGAAGGCTCAGCGGTTCTTGAACTTTAGTTATCATATTTGCTTCGACATTTATTATCGGTCACTTTCAAAGCCCTATAATGCTTTCGGGCTCACTTTACGCTTGAATTTCAGCAAGCAAACGTCTTTCATGGGGATATGATCGAGCAGAAGTGTTGGGTGCGATGATTTCGGTCATTATCCTTTGGGTGCTCACAACAGTTCTTGTTCTGTTGGCCATCGAACGAATTGTAAACAACAAACTATGTAAGTGGTTTTCAGCAGATGATACCCTCTTACACTTCTATGTATGAGGAATTACCGTAAAATATTCAAAATTCTAGCGGTGGATGCTGATGTGATGCTGATCACGGCCTGTGTTGGAGTCGGATTTAATGTCATCATGGGTATTGTGCTGCATTTTGGAAGCGGTGGCCATGGACATACTCATGGAGGAGCCAGTCATGGGTAAGTTTTCTATTTAGTCCTCGGGCCAGACGATGCCTCCTGAAGGGTATTTGTCGGGAGAATTATCAGTAGCCGCGCCCTGCAAACTGCAACCACTCCCAAGTAGCTAGCAGCGTTAAGAAAGAGATGTAGAGATGATGAAGAGATAATAAAGAGAAGCAGCCTGGAAAAAGAAGCATTGTGACTAAGCA